TATATCAATATAATAATTAACACTAATCATGGTTTTCGGAGTTGAAAGCCTTTTTGTTTATCACGTCAAAAGGAACCATGTTCACTACTTTAAAAGGGACGTCCCAGTCTTGCTGCAGAAATTTGTAAGTCCCCTTTATGTTATCCACAAATGTTAAATCAAGTTCGCAAATTGTGTAATATGTATAAGTTAGGATGCATTTGGTTGATTACTTGTAATAATTTTTGGGAGGTGACCAGGGCTAGATTAGAAAATTAACATAAAGATAATAAAAATATTACAAGGATAGTTTTTAAAAAATAATAAATATAAGGTCCTGTTAACAAAGAAGAAAAAATTTATCACTGCAGAAATGATTTAAAGGTAAAACATTCAAGATTATTAATTCAATTTATTTTTATATATATTCTAATAATATGATTAAATTAAATTCTATAGTTTAATATTTTATTTTAAAAATAAAAATTGTAATAGTTTATAAACTGAATACAAGTAACATGTAGAATTGATTAAAAAAAAAAGCTGTGAGTTTTTTTTTTTTGAGAAAACAAAAATTGAAATTGAGACGCATGTAACTAAAGCAGTTGTTGTTAATCTTCTCCGTCAACTTTTTCTCGCGAGTTACTAAACTCCCCCCTTCCTTCTTGTTTTCTTCTTCGATTCTCAGTCCCTCTGTTCTATATATAGGTCACCTGCTCCCATTTTTTCTATTTTATTTTGTTACTGTTTCCACATTTTTTTTTTTCTATTTTGGTTTCTGGCTTCCTTCTTGAAAGGTAATTTGTTGATGATCATCATCTTCTTCTTCTTCTTCTTCATATATTACTAACTGTTTGGTCTTGCTTTGAGAGATATTGATCGGACCTGACCCTTCTAATATCTTTGTGAATTTCTTTTAATATTTTCCCAGCAATATGCCGCTATTGTTGTTGGTCTTGCTCTTTCTTCCTCTTTATTAACGTTGTTTAATTTATTTTGGATTATATATGACTTGAATCTCTTTTCTGCTTTCTTTACTGCTAGTTTTCTTTTAATTTGCTCGTTTTGTTTTTTAATTTGAAAGGAATGTGCTATGTGCTATTGTGTAATGCCTTCAAAGTACTGTACATGTGTCTTTCAACTCACTGTGTTGAAATAGGAGTTTCTTGTTAAATGCTATAAACCCATTTCTAATAATTATTTGTGGGCTTCTTTCTTGGGGTATCTTGAATTTCAGAATGGCCACTGCTGTGTTTCACCAAGCCTTAGGGACCGCTCAGTCCCATCAACACCTCCAGAACTCCGGTTCTCATCTTGAGTTTGGCAATGCTTCGTTGAAACTGATATCTAAAGGTTTCAAGGTTGACATTGGACTGTCAAGAAGAGGGAGTTATAGTTCTTGGAAGAAGAAATTTGGTCTTATTCAAGCCTTGGCTTCTCAAACTTCAGTGGTTCAACCGGTTTCATATCCCCCAAATAACAGCTCTGATGAGTTACGAAAGAAATCAAGTATGCCTGTTTCATTTTAGTCCAAAATTCATATCTATTGAAGATTAGAATTCATATCAATTGCCATTTTTTATTCTTAAAAAGATCTCATCATATTTGAATTTGGCCGCATGAATCCTACTCTTCTGCAATACAATAGAAAAAAAATCATGTTGATATACAGATTGATTGATATTATTTCGCGTCTGATTAAAATTTGGAGCTGGGTTTTTTCTTTTTGTGAAATCTTCTTAATGCTATATCCTAATCCATTTCAGGTGAAGCAGCTTTGATACTGATTAGGCATGGTGAGTCACTATGGAATGAAAAGAACCTCTTCACAGGCTGTGTTGATGTGCCATTGACAAAGAAGGGTGTGGAGGAGGCAATTGAAGCTGGTAAGAGAATCAGCAACATACCCGTCGACATGATATATACATCAGCCTTGATACGTGCGCAGATGACTGCCATGCTTGCCATGACTCAGCATCGTCGCAAAAAGGTAGTTTGGTAAAACATGCCATTGGGTGTTAGAAAACAGAAGTTTTAGCTGCGCATCGTCACTAAATGGTAGTTTAGTAAAACACGCTACTAGGTGTTAGAAAACAGAAGTTTTAGCTGTGGCATTCAAATCTCAGAAGTTATTAACATGATAGTAGATGAATATCTTGCTCTTGCAGTAACTGAGCTAAACCTGGGTTATTTGACATTGGCACAATAATTACTCAGGCTGGCTCATCTAACACTTATTTATGTACTAATTCAGCAAGACAAGTTAAGATGAACTTATTTAAGACTCCACTATTTCTTCAAAAGTTTTTTTCTTTTTCTTCTTTATTTGCTAGCATGTTGACTATCAAACTGGTGGCAGGTTCCTATCATTTTACACAATGAGAATGAACAGGCAAGGGAATGGAGTCAAATTTTTAGTGAAGATACAAAAAAGCAATCCATCCCTGTTGTAACAGCTTCGCAATTAAATGAAAGAATGTAATGATACTGTCTCCGTTTCTCTGATCATATCCTTTTGCCTGGAATCCCCACTTCATATGCAACTTATGACTGATCTTCTCTACAGGTATGGTGAATTGCAGGGTCTCAATAAGCAGGAAACAGCAGACAGGTTTGGCAAGGAAAAGGTTCATGAGTGGCGGAGGAGTTATGACATACCTCCACCCAATGGCGAGAGTTTGGAAATGTGTGCTGAAAGAGCAGTTGCTTATTTCAAAGATCATGTATGCATGGCTATGCTTCCTATTCCTAGTTCTCTTATGGTTTGCTTGCCAATGATTGGATGGTTTTCTTAATGATTCAAGCAATTATATACCATTCAATAGCATCTGACATAAGAGTACTTGCAGATTGAACCTCAACTTCTATCTGGGAAGAATGTGATGATTGCTGCCCATGGGAATTCACTCAGGTCCATAATCATGTACCTTGACAAATTAACTTCACAGGAGGTGATGAACTAGTTACTTTGGGGTGTTTCCATATGGATCATCTATGCATTATCTCTTCTTTTTCCTCATAGTATTAACTTTATTTTGATCTTTTTTTGTTCGGGCAGGTTATCAACTTAGAATTATCAACTGGAATACCAATGCTTTACATATTAAAAGGGGGTAAATTCATTAGGAGGGGAAGTCCTCCAGGACCAACTGAGGCTGGCGTGTATGCATATACTAGGGTATGCTACTTCTGGTCATCATATTAGCTTCTGGACTTGAAAATTTGATTTCTGGCTGCAGTTTATATTTGCCTGATTTTAAGTGTGGCAGATTATTATGTTCAACAGTTGTAGCCTCTCTGAAATTAATATGGAAAAGTTTTATCTGAAATAATCGTATAGTTTTTGATTTCCCTAATCACTCGATGAAGAACCATCCAAAACATGCTTGTGTCAGGAAGTTGCCTTTCTAAGTTTCCAATGAGACCTTAAGATGAATTTTCCTAGTTAATTATAGATATTGGAATGCAATATAATTTTTTCAGTAATTTACTTTATTGCTAAGAATCTTCTTGCTAAGACTGGCTGGTAAACCCTAGGTCTAGAAAGCACAGGAAGAAATTGTCATTACCTAGGAAATATGTATATGATACAGAGATGCATAAAAAATATTATGCAAACACATTATTGAGTAAAATTGTAAAACATTCTAGCAGTCAATAAATTTTGTGTACAAGAATGAACAACAAGATCTTTTTCTTTGCCCATGACATTATTACTTGGAATTTCTGAATATTCTTGGAATTCTAACTCCATAGTCTTCTTTGTTTTGCGCATCGTTTACATAATGCTATCTAGTACCTGACTGAATATGACACCACCACTTATGCTACTTTAAATGCTGTTGCAGAGTTTAGCTCTATATAGGCAGAAGTTAGATGATATGCTGCGTTAATATATGCTCACATACTGGTAAGTTCAATTGCTTGTTATCATCTTCTGTGTGTACCTCAATCACTGGCTCTTTTTTTGCTTCCAACTCCTTAGATGAGTACCAACATTGCTTTGCTTTTTCAGGGGGGATCTTCATCTGCATTACTATCATAATAGCTGTTGGTGTCATAAATAAGAAAATGCAGAAAAGCTAGTTATGTAATACGTTTGGGCACATGTATATGGGTTATCCTCCTCAACCAGTAGGAAGGAAAGCTTTCTACTGCTATCTGTTTAGTTTTCACGTGTCAGTCAAGTCTACTGTTTTGATCGGGTCCTTGCCCATGTTTCTTCCTGGGAAGATGTAGGATTCGTGATAGTTAGTGATGTTTAAATGTTTTAGAAGATGGACTGAAATTTGAGTACTGTTTTATGGTACCTTCTAGCTATCACAATGTACACAAGGTGATGCGAGGTAATTTTCCTCATTTTGTGTTTTGTTCTTTCTCCGCATGGATTTGGGTCATGGAACATGATGGATCTTGTTTGTAGAACTCACATATTCCGGTTTAAATCAATGGTAATGATTTAGTTTTGAATTCATAATTGGATGTGGATGGTTCTTCAAATAAATAGTTGGAAAGTTATTTGAATTTAAAATAAAATCTAAATTCAACAGTTAAGATTTTACAAATAGGATCCATTATGTTCTCAAGAACATGATGTGAAGTGTTAATTATGAACTCAATAGACTATATGATCATGCTTTAGCAAATAAATAGATGAAAACTAAACCATTCCTAAATATATTTACCTATGTAGCGACCTCTTGATGCACCGTGGATGTAAACCCAGATATCAAAATCCTAGAATTTATGATCAAGAATCATAATATTTACCTAAAATAACTAAAATTAGATTATAAAACCCTCGACTCGACTTGTTAATGACTTGAATCAAGAACTAAAGGTATTTCTTTCTTGGGCTATATTGATTAAGACTTCTTCATTCTTTAAACTCAATTTCATGTTTAAAATTATTTTAGAAAGAATTCTCAAACTTTCTCAGCTCGAATGTCATATATAAACCTATTGAATGCATTTTCTGTCCGAGTGGTGAACTATTTTATAAATTACAAAATTGAGTCATAATACCAACTGACAAGAATCAAAATACACTGGAACATGGAAACATGCATTTGGATCTTATCGTGACTGCCATATAAGACCCAACGAGGAAAAATCATTTGCTGAATTCGATAATTTTATCTATGCAACTCAACAGAAACTCTTGATATTGAAGTCTGACTAAAATGATAAGTCAGCTGTCCTCCACCAACCGCTTTCAGGTCATCCTGCCTTGGCAAAGCTCAAGCATGTGCTTTGTCATCAGGTTTCACAACTTCAGCCTGATGTGGGTCTTTTGGCTTTGACTGTGCCTCTTTCTTGCAACCTTCAGTCACTAGAGTATTTTCAACAGTGGCAACAGTTTCTGAATCTATTCCATCACTAGAGTATTGTCAGAAGCATCAGAATCTGAGTCCAAGTTAAGCGAGTCCAAAGTAGTAGCTGCCGAGGGGGAACTCACTCTTGTCTCCAAAATGAAGGCATCCTCTTGTCGTCCTCCGTCATCCTCTCTGCATACTCGCTTATATCAAAATCTACACCTTTTCCACCAAATGCAGCTTCGAGATGGTCCATATCAAATAGATCTTCCATTATTTTGATAGTATTGATTTCATCAGCGTAAACAAACTTGACTTTATTGTAAGTCTTAGGCTCTAGAAATGCTTTTGTCACCTGGTAATCCTGATATTACTAGCGAACCAAACTAGCGTATAGAGTGCAGAGAAATCAGAAAGGCGTCACCAAAAATAATCTAATACCAGCAACAGGACTGTGACTCCACAAAACACACTGGAATGCCCCTTGGCTAATGCTAATATGCAAAATACCGAAACTGAAACTAACCACTGTCCCGTACAATTCACAATTGGAACTAAAACAGCTTTGCATCAAATTTTGCAAATGCAATGATGACATTAAAGATTGGAAGCAACGAAAAAGCAGACAGATTACCACAAATTGAACTCTAGAAATTATAATAGTGTCTCAATACCAAGTACTAAGAAAATAGAACATAAAACGCCAGGTAATTTCTATAGAATGGAGGTGAGGCCAGTCCTATGTATAGTAGTGAATGTTGGGTATCAAAACAACATGATACTCATAAGATGGCAGTGGCAGTGAGATCTGCATGTTAAGGTGTACAGTAACACAAGAACAGATAACATTAGAAATGACACATCCAACAAAAGGTCCATGTAGTGCATATTGTTGGGAAAAAAAATGAGAGAAGGGGCCTAAAATGGTTTGGCATTGTCCGATGTAGGACACCAGAGCCCTGGTTTGGAAAGATAAGCTGGGGGTAGAGGGAGCCATAAACTAACGTGAAGTGGTGTCAGAGGGTTTAAAATCTCTCGATATTGAGGCAGATTTTGGTGTACGATCATATGGCATGGTGCAAAAAGATCCATGGTTGTAGTTGTAAACTAATCTCTAGCAATTCATTTAGGCAGTGTACATTGTTACCTTGAGCACAATCTATAATCAAAACTCTATATTTACAAGAGCCAGAATAAAGTAAATTTCTGTAAATCCGAGAATTGAAAATTTAAAACATTATGAAAAAAATAGAAATTTTAAAAAGTACAGCGAAAACAGATAAGGAGTTAACATCCAGAAAAGTTCAAAGAATTTTGGAGGGTTGTACAGGATTGCAAAACCCAGGCATTCAGGATAATGGTTTTGTAAAACATGGGCTGTTTCCCGTGTCACCTTCAATGAAATTTGCGATAAATTGAAACCATAAGCATATCACTTTTGAATTTGATCCCTGAAAACTGATATTTCTGTACACACTTCAAAGTACAAAAGATCTCACTGGGTTTCCACGAAGTACTGCCACGACGACTTGCGTTAAGGTTACAAATACTATGGGGCCGTCACTTTTGAGGGATAAATTATCGTGCATTATAATAGTAATTTGTTTTTTTAATTTTTTTTTCTTTTAATTACACTTTTATAAGCACAAATTAATTGCTAATTAAAATGGACATGATTCAAAGGACAAAGGACAGAAATGAAGGATATAACATAAAAAGGTCGTATTTTAACTTTGATCCTCAAATTTTTTAAATTTTAAACTTTTAGTCTCTAAAAAATTATAATATTCAATTTTAATCTCAAACTTTATTTTCCTTATCCTAATTGTTCTTGCCCATAAACTTGAGTGAAATAATAGATCTAAACGTGCAATTTTTCTTATTTCAATTTAATTGTAGTTTTCAAAGCTAATTTTAAATTATTAGAGGCTATGAATACATTTTATGAGTTGTTTAAAATGTTATTTTTAAGTTTTTTATTATTAAAATATAGTTACAAAATAAATTTTTAGATTTTTATTTGTTTGAATAAGGTTATTTTAATTTTATTTTATGAATAAGATAACTTATTACTTATCCGCGAGCTTGGGCATTATTATTTTTTTATCGATTACAATTAGATTTTTAAAAATATTTATTATTTATTTTTTTAATTTTATTTCTTAATATTAGTTAATTATTAATTAAATATTTTTCCCATCACTTGATATTTTCCAATTAGTTAACACATCAGCTAAGCAAGGACAAAGCTTTATAATTTTTTTACTGTATAAATAGTTTTTAATCTATTTAATTAAATATATTCATAAACTTTTTAATTATACTTGGAATTTCTTTATATATAAAAACAGGTCATAATTTGTGGGAGGGGAAGAATCGTGTGATTGTATTGTACTGGATCTGAGTCCTGAAGCAAAGCTAATTTTTTTATTATTTGGCGTCAAAATCATGGATGGACAATTTACGTGTCTTTTCATTCGGGATTAATAGCATGTCCTAGTGATACATCTACATGAACCAAACTTTTCTTCAAATCCAAGCAATAGCAGCCTCACAAATCACAACACGCAGAGAAAGGTCAGGAGAGATTGTCAGATCAAACCTGGCAATTAGGTGTCATGTCAAGAACTGTTCTTCCATGCTTGTCAAAGTAATTTCATCTGTAGAGTTTCCCCATTTGTGCTTCATGAGCAACCTCTTCCTGCATTGCAAACAAAAACAGTGACAGAAATAAACACCATCGCATGAGTAGATCCACAACTAGAACAAATTTGACCAGTCCCATAACCCACAATGCCGAGTTTCCTGATGGAAATTGTTACTAATTGTATTGGGACTTCCAGATATTGTGATTAGTACTTAAAAGTGTATTTTCTGGGACTTCCAGATATTGCATAGCCAATTGCAATTTGTCTTAATTTTGAGTATTATAAATTATTAGTGGCAGTTTCAATATGCTTGGACCCTTAACAGGTATGGTTTAAGTTAGAACTTATTGAAACAACTATATATTAAATTTTTGGTATTCTGTGAAATGTGACTGGAGGCCATTTAATTTCCTAATGCAACAAAATGCATGAAATGAAAGAAGATGTAGGAGAGCTTCGAGACTCGTTCAATTAGTCGATCCCTACCAAGGTTTCATCCATTGATTAAGACTTAAACGCTAGAGAGAATCTTTCCTCTCAAAGACTAAGAGAAAATCAAGAAGGATATAAAAAATGCCGGCATACCTAGCCAAATTTCTTCTGGTTTGTGTGCTGCGCTCCATTTTAAGGTTTCTTTCAGCATTTTCAGTGCCTTCTTGACGTTCCAGTTCCGTGCCCTCAGATACCTTGCGATGACAATAAATGAACATCTTATCTTATCTCGCTGTGGCCCCACCAGCCTTCTCACACCATTAACATGCAAATCGGAAAGAGTTATGTAATTTAGACTATACTTCTATGATGAAAAATAATTTTTTTAAGTAAATGTTTTAAAAATAAATTATTTTTTAATATTTAATGGTGTAATGAAAATTAAGTTATAAAACACTTTTTAATTTTTAGTTATGTCATAAAAAATAAATAAAAAAATAACTTAGTAATGTTTTATTTTTTTTCAAGTTTATTAAAATAATAAAGAATAAATGTTACAAATTAAAAAGTTGAATAACAATGAAATTGAAAAAAAATATAATTTTATAAATTATCTCATCTAAAATAAATAATAATCAAAATAATAAAAATCAAATGTAAAATATAAAAAAATTGAAAGATAAAGAAATTAAAATAATAGTAATTACCATTTCATAAATTATTTCAAATAAAATAAGTAACAATAAAAAGAATGAGGACCAAATTTGATAGATAAAAAAATTCAATTAAAAAAAAAAGATAAGGGAAAAGCAAATAACAATTATAAAAATGAGGACAAAAATTAATATAAAAATTAAATTCTGTGGGATGAAATTGAAAAATAAATATTCAAAACAAAACATATATATAGCAATTAAAAGTTTGACGACTAAATTTGATATAATCAGCAAATAATATAACATTTCTAAATGTTTTATAACTTTTGAAAAGTGTTTTCTATCCAAAATAAAAGGAAAATATTTTTCTAGAAACCAAGCTAAATTTTTCTTTGAATGGAAAGTGTTTTTCGTTGACTCGAAAGTGTTTCCCGTTAACTAACTTTTCTAATGACAAACAAATACAAGAAAATTTAGAAAGTGGTTTTTTGAAAACCACTTTCTAGGAAACAAACGCACCCTCAAAGTTTTTCTCCCATATGTAGTAGTAAACGAGATGATCACATATAATGGATATACCATCATTGCTTGCTTATCTTTAGTTGTCAAAGGCTTCTCAAAGCCATTTGAAGAGGATTTCTTTCCACCCCCACTCATTTTAGGTTTTCATATTATATGTTTCTATCACATACCTAATCATCTTTATTTTATATTCTTTTAATTTGGAAGTAGAAAATGCTAAAGAACCACACATCATCATTCCATATACAAAGTATTTTCATAAGATGATATTGTTAAAGAACCATCTCAATGGCCTTCGCACAGACACACTATATTGTGTTTAATTTTTATCAAATAAATAAAGATGTTGAAATTTGAACTTATGATTACTTGGTTATCAAGACTCTAATATTATGTTAAAGAACCATCTCAACATAATAACTTAAGTTTTAAGGTAAGGTTCCAAGATATGATTTATATTATTCTTAATAGATATAACAAAAGCTTCTAGATACCTTAAAGTTATTTCTTTAAAACAATGTGTAGCGTTATCAAAATATAACACTCTCTATATAAGATAATCTAGTAATCTCAAATCTAAAGATCACTTGCATAATTATCACGTAACTGTTTCCATAAACACAAGTGAACTCTTCATATGAAATTCTCATATAGGTTAATTCAATGTATATATCATCTGACAAACACCTACATACTAGTTCTATATATCTCTCATACTTCAGCTTATGAGAACAACTACTTTTTTTTTTTTCATAAAGGAAGAAACATAATATGCATTAGTTTTAACAACTCTAATTAATATTCAATCTTAATAAAGCATTGATCAAGAATATTTAGAAACAATATTTTGATGCAATATGAATCTCATAATTATAACTTTATAATTTCCATAGTCGATTAAAGTTTATTTTTATTCTAGATTTATTAATCAAATAGTAGATTCATTAATAAAATATTTGATAAATATTAAATATATATAAACTTGTATTAATAAATTAAATATATTTACATTAATAAAGTCAATACTATTTGTAACTAACTGATTTGCTACAAAGCATATACACTTGTTGACATTTGTGCTATATATTAATATTTTTATATTTTGATTATAACAATTAAATAAAATTGGACTAATACTATGCTTGGTTGAGAATAAATTTAAACATGGTTTTATATGAAGAATATATTAACCAGCATGAAGAATTAAATGGAAAAATCAATCAATAAGTCCAAGATGCAAAACAAGTGAAGACTTTGTTCTTAATGATTCATTTTAGTGCAAATTATATAAATCTTTAAATCTTACTTGATAACACAAATTAAAATGAATTCACACACTTCACTTTACTTGTATTAAATGATTGATATGCATTTAGTCAATCAAGTTTCACGGGGTTTAAAACTGTTAAATCTAGGTTTTAAGTTGAAACAGTCAATTACTTGTTCACCAAGGATGAACACCTTGGAATATGCAGGAACCGATTGATCGATTATCCTAACTTATATAAACTGGTCGACTGTTTCATCTGTCAAATAAACATTAACAACTATATAACAACTAGTTTTTATCAAAAACACACATATAACTTGTTTAATTATATAATAAAATAGTGAATCTGAACATATATCATATACAAACTATTTTAAAAGAAAAACAACTTTAAAATCATCAATCTTTAACCATATTCATTTTTGTGCATTAAAACCTTTATATTTTCTCTCAAGAGTATACATTCTTATTCTCATTATTAAGTGAGTTATAGAAATCATATATTCTCAATTGTAAAATCCACTCTACTGAAAAAGTATTTTGTGACTATAAAATCATAATTATAAAAACTTGAGTTTGGATAAACTTTTGGCATTAGTGATATATTGTCACCAATGAAAAAATCTTGAGTAGGGGACATCTTCAAGTAGTGTATAAGCTTGGTGTGGATTCATTAAGGACATTATATCTTTAACTTGGATTAGTAAAAGAATACAATACTCAATTATGGTTGGTACTTAGGCTGTGAATATTGGTTTGTTGAACCATGTTAAAAACCGAGTTTGCAATCTTTCTTCCTTTACCTATATATTTTAAGTACTTGAATTATATTATTAATTATTATGTTTATTGTTCTTAATGTGCTTAATAGTTTTAAATTACATTATTTGTTAATATTAGTGGAATACCTAATTCACCTCTTCTTAAGTGTTCTTGTTGCTTTGATCCTAGAGCAGCAATTGGTTCGAGAGCAAGGTTCTCATTTATTTATTTTACTACCACTAGTTGTTATATTTAAAATCAAGGAACGTCATCTGTTAGGCCATCTTTTTTTTTTGTAATGACTATACCTATTGGAAAGCTAGAAAGATAATATATTTTAATCTATTGCTTATTATCTATGGTTATTTATTGAAAATGGACCTCATAAGCCTATTAAAATTAAAGATGGTATAACTATTCCTAAGGCTAGAAGTGAGTATACTGATAGTGATAAAAAGTTGTTATCTATAGATGCTAAAACTATAAATACTTTATATTATGCATTAAGTAGAAGTGAGTTTAATAAGATCACATCTTGAAAAAGTGCTAGGGACATATGACATGCTTTAGAAATAACTTATAAAGGTATCAATCAAGTTAAAGAATCCAAAAATAGACATGCTTTTACATCAATATAAGTTATTTAAAATGCTTCAAAATAAATCCATTATTAGTATGTTTACTAGAATAACAACTATTATTAATAGTTTAGATGCTCTTGATAGGACTTATACTAATACTGAAACAAAATTACGTGCAAAATTATTAGGTTCTTACTAAAGCCAAGGATCTCACCAAACTTCCATTGGAAGAGCTCATTGGATCATTAATAACACATGGGATCCCCCTAGAAAAACAAGAACTAGAAGAGAATTCAAAGAAGAAATTGGCATTCGAAACTATTTACCATGTTGATAATGATGATGATGATGATGATGATGATAAAGTGGAGAAGGACATTGTACTTATCGCAAGATAATTCTACGATTTCCTAAGAAAGAATTAAAGGAATATAAAGTTCTTTAATTTCAAGAAAGATGAAAATAAAGAAAAATCTAACAAGAAGGCACATAGATGCTACAAGTGCAATAAGACAGGCCATATAAAGGTTGATTACACTATTTCAAAACAAAAAGAAGAATAATCATCACAAATGAGTAGTGAAAGAGACATGGAGTGATGACTTAGACTTTATTTCAAGTGATGAAGAAAAATATGTTACAAACATGTATTTCATATAATTTCATGTCAATTAAAAGTGATAATAAAGTACTTTATTTGGATGATGAATATGACCTCATCTATAATGAATTACATGATTCTTTTGAATCTTCTATGGTGAGTTTAAGAAGCTATGATCAAAATATAGCACATTGAAAACGAACCGTTCATACTTGTTTATTGAAAAAAAAAACTTTAGAAAATAAAGCATATAATATAGTTGATGATTGTAATAAGATGAACCTACTTGAAGAGGAAAATAAACCTTTCAAGGAAAATGTTGATAAGTTGAACACCATACTAGCAAAATTCACTCAAGGTTTTAAGATTTCAGAAATCATCCTAGCTAGACAAAGATGTGTCTTTGACAAAAAAAAAAAAAAGGTCTAAGTTATCAACGTAAAAAGAATAAAAAATATTTAAAGAATTATTTTTTTAAAGCCAAATAATCATACAACTTAAACCATACATTTCATTATTATAGAAGCACTAGTTATTTGATTTATACATGTCCTATAAAGAAGGACAAAGTTGGTAATATGACTTCGGTTTCAAAAGTAACTAAAAAGGACCCAAGATAGTATAAGTACCAAAAACCTCATCTTGATTTTGTGTGCATATGAATTAAAGGAATGCAAGGAGTGGTTATTGGATAGTTTTGCATAAGATATATGACTGGAGATGATTCATTGTTTTAAAGCATAACTAAGATCAATGGTGAAAAAAGTTATGTTTGGAGATAACTCAAAAGGAAAGATCATCGGAGTTGAAAATATTGAAGGTAAATCTTCAACTTCAATAGAAAAGGTTTTTCTTA